GTGATAATTAATGTAAATAATGTATATTCATGAGGCGGAGGGAAAAATGGCGCGCTTACCACTCGCGCGGTCCTGGGTTCGAATCAAAGGTCGACACCCGGCCCCCAGGCCAACCAAGCCTTCTACCCTCCGGGGACGGTAAATTGGTACCAGATTCGTCTGGGAGGATAAGAACACTGACTTGTACATCGGCGGCCCCGCAGAGTCATTGTATAGGCCACAACACATTCACTTATCTAGTACGGTTCGTATGTAAGTAAAATGCGTACCGTATCCAGGAAAGGGATCGGTTAACGATGAAGGCTTTATTCTTTTATTTTATTCAATCCGGTAATACTGTTGAATAGAATGTTTGGAAATCAGTGGAAAAATAAAAAAGACGAAAACGGTTGCTGCTGTATTAAGAAACATTTCGCGCGCGTTGTCAAATGCTTCTTTGCTCCTTTGCGAAATAATGCGCCTTATATCCCAGAAATAGGATGTTTATCTCTTATCTGATGTATGACTGAGTGAACCTTATTCATATCAGTCTCCTTTTTGAAAGCTTTTTTGTTTTATTTGTTGAATAAGAACCTGGTAGCGCATTGAATCATTTCCGAAGATTTCCAGCCTTCTGTCCTATACGGTTTCAGTTTGGATGACTTCAGAATTTATTTTTCATGTGATTTCCAGAACGTAGCCATCCTCGACACCGTCTGGAAGTTTTCGGCGGAGGCATATGGCATAACATAGTGTTGGCAGGAATTGCGTATGTGATGTTTTTATGGACTCCGTACTTTCTGGCGCCATTTTTCGGGCAAGGTCAAGGAGTTACTGTGACAAGTAAGTTTTTACCCGGACGCATGAAAAATCCAATTTTTGTATGTTGTTTGACCATATTAAAGCCACATTACATGTACACGACGACAGTCTTTCGAAAAAATTTTCTATAGATATTGTGTGTATAGTGAATACTATAACATGATAATGTTGGGGCTTAAGAGTATTTCGATAAATTGGTCAGGTCCTTTGACAGTGCGAAGTGTTTCGAACTTCAGAACAAAC